GTACCTTAACAATCTTGGTTTGCTGGGAAATGTGACAAACACACTGCCAACCTATAAGCAATGCATTTATTTGTGCTCAACATTCCATACTCCTTGAAATGTTTTTTCTTTTCTGCTTTTCCAGAAAGCGGTACGGTGGATGTTTTCCATTTCCTGTAGAAAAATTGAAAAGTCTATTAAGGCTGAGAGCCACTGCAGTACAGTATAGTACAAACTGTTTGGCTTAGACCGAAAAGACCTCTGTTCACTAATCCTTGCTTTGCCATGGTGCTAACTAGGTGATATTGGGCAAGTTGCAAAAAGGGCAGCCTGACCCACACCCTCCAACATTCCTCCCATGAAAATAGGGACATCCCATTCAATAACAACAATAATTTGATTATTTATAGCCTGCCCATCTAACTGGGTTGCCCTAGCCACTCTGGGTGGCTTCAAACATATATATAAAAAATAACAAAACAGTGAACATTAAAAAAACCTTCCCTTCCCAGGGCTGCCTTCAGATGTCTTCTAAAGGTTGTATAGTTACTTATCTCTTTGGCTTGGGGTTCGCATAACTCCATACCCTGCAATATTTCTCCAATGAAAATAGGGATATTCTCCCATGCCCTCCATTTTGCTAATAAAATTAAGGATGTCCTAAAGAAAAGTGGGACATTCCAGGATCAAATCAGAAACAGGACAGCTTCTGTAAATCTGGGACTGTCCCTGGAAAATAGGGACACTTGGAAGGGCTGTCAATTTGGGCAGTGAAGCAGGCTTCTGAGCATATAGCCAATGCAGGCCCAAGTGTGAATCTAAATGTACAGATGCTTCTGCATTGAGATGCTCATCTTGAACTAATACCATGTGCCTTTGGAGACAAATAGTCCCTGGAAAATAGGTACACCTTTTCTTGGATAATCAATCAAGCAAGCATTTTATTGATATGCTGCCTTCCCAAAGTTAAAACCATGCTCAAGGCAGTTTACAACATATCTTAAAAGTATATATTTTTTTATTATTATTTATTAAATTTATATACCGCCCTATACCCATAGTTCTCAGGGCAATTCACATTATAAAATCACAATATAAAAAAACAGAAAACAAAAGCAAAGACAGCTCAATAATCCCCAATAATTGTAGTTATGTAGTAAGGTAAAGGTAAAGGGACCCCTGACCGTTAAGTCCAGTCGCGTATGACTCTGGGGTTGCGGCGCTCATCTCGCTTTACTGGCCGAGGGAGCCGGCGTTTGTCCACAGACAGCTTCTGGGTCATGTGGCCAGCATGACTAAGCTGCTTCTGGTGAGCCAGAGCAGCACACGGAAACGCCATTTACCTTCCTGCTGGAGTGGTACCTATTTATCTACTTGCACTTTGCACTTTGACATGCTTTTGAAACACTAGGTTGGCAGGAGCAGGGACCGAGCAATGGGAGCTCACCCCATTGCAGGGATTCGAACCGCCACCTTCTGATCAGCAAGCCCTATGCTCTGTGGTTTAGACCACAGCGCCACCCGCATCCCTAGTTATGTAGTACTAGTAGGGAGTCAAGAGATAAAAGGAACAACTGGCAAGTTTGGCATTGGAGTTCAAAACGAATCAGGGCAAAGGCTAATAGAGTTCTGTCAAGAGAACAAGCTGGTCATCACAAACACTCTTTTCCAACAACACAAGAGACGACTCTACACATGGACCAGATGGGCAGCATCAAAATCAGATTGATTATATTCTCTGCAGCCAAAGATGGAGAAGCTCTATGGAGTCAGCAAAACCAAGACCTGGAGCTGATTGTGGCTCAGATCACCGGCTTCTTATAGCAAAATTCAAGCTTAAACAAAAGAAAGTAGGGAAAACCACTGGGCCAGTAAGATACAATCGAAATCAAATCCCTTATGAATATACAGTGGAAGTGAGGGAGAGGTTTAAGGATTTAGATTTGGTGGACAGAGTGCCTAAAGAACTATGGATGGAGGCTTGTAACATTATACAGGAGGCAGCAATGAAAACTATCCCAATGAAAAGGAAATGCAAGAAAGCAAAGTGGCTGTCCAACGAGGCCTTACAAATAGCGGGAGAGAGAAGACAAGCAAAATGTGAGGGAGATAGTGAAAGATACAGGAAATTGAATGCAGATTTCCGAAAAATAGCAAGGAGAGACAAGAGGGCTTTTTTAAATGAGCAACACAGAGAAATAGAGGAAAACATTAGAATGGGAAAAACCAGAGATCTGTTGAAGAAAATTGGAGATATGAAAGAAACATTTCGTACAAAGATTGCCATAATAAAGGACAAAAGTGGTAAGGACCTAACAGAAGCAGAAGACATCAAGAAGAGGTGGCAAGAATACACAGAAGAATTATACCAGAAAGATATGGATGTCTCGTACACCCCAGGTAGTGTGGTTGCTGACCTTGAGCCAGACACCCTGGAGAGTGAAGTCAAATGGGCCTTAGAAAGCAGTGCTAATAACAAGGCCAGTGGAAGTGATTATATTCCAGCTGTTTAAAATTTTAAAAGATGGTGCTGTTAAGGTGCTACATTCAATATGCCAGCAAGTTTGGAAAACTCAGCAGTGGCCAGAGGATTGGAGAAGATCAGTCTACATCCCAGTCCCAAAGAAGGGCAGTGCCAAAGTCATAAACAATAAACAAAACAACGAAAAGTACGCAACCAAATTGAGCAACTTCCACATACCTCTAAATAATAAAATACAAAATAAGGATACACACAAAAATAACAGCAACAGCTACACACACATACCCCACAAAACCCAACCCAAGATTCAGTTCAGCAGTCTCAGCTTTTTGTAGCCAGAGTCATCCAGGGTCTAGTTCTCTCAGACCAGGCGGGAAAGGCCTGCAAGGCAGCAAGCTCGTCTTCCAGGACTCACAGCCAGGTTAAAATGGTAGTGGTAACTGCAGTAATAACAATTAGCACATTATTACTTTTAATGGAGGAGCAGTCCGTCATGGTAGTCGCCCGAAGTTTGAAATGGCACAGCCTAAGAGACAAGATTTACCACCTCAGCAATAACAAGGCCAGAGTATTTTCCCTTCATCTGCAGCAGAACACTTTCTTTTTAAAAGTCTGTAACTTGAGTCAAAACTTCCAAATAGATTCCTGACAACTCACATTTTTTATTACATACAGAAAGTGACAGCTTTGCTCAAATCAGGACACAAATCACTCTGATATATCAGTCTAGCAAACGCCTGTGGGAATCTATATTCGGTCGTCACTCTTCCGAGTTTAGGGTTTTTATTTTATTTTAAAAGAAGAGAAGCTTTTTTTTTAGGGGCAAAGACAGGCGGCAACAGAGAAGACTTCAGAGCTCAGGTAGAAGTTTTCTGAAGGCACCGCTGCCTTAAACAACTGGTCCCTTTTGATAGAGGAGGTGGACTCTTTCATAGTGAAAAGGGCACAGGGAGAGACAACTACAGGGGAGTTCAGCATTCTCCCTTCTCAGCGAAGAGAAGCCTTGCTGAATAGAACTTTCACCACAGTATTTCTAAGAATCTACTGTTTGAAGTGTCAGTGCTGCAGCCACCGTGGAGCGAGCAGGTCAAAGATGGACAAGAAACCCAGCTGAAAAGGCTGTGAAAGAGTGTGTAACAACATTCAGACACCTTAACTGAGAAGCTGCCCTACGAGAAAGGTCAGCTTGAAGAATAAAGGGAACCATAACCATCTGAGAATGGAGAGGGAAGGGAGTTAAAGCCAACTTCACATTTCTCCAGTGCCACCCCATATAGTATCATTGGCACTAGGACAATGTGATGCAAGGCAATTATCCTTTTTCTTTCTTTCTTCTTTATTTAAAGGTAAAGGGAGCCCTGACCATTAGGTCCAGTCGTGGCCGACTCTGGGGTTGTGGCGCTCACCTCGCTTTATTGGCCAAGGGAGTCGGCGGACAACTTCCGGGTCATGTGGCCAGCATGACTAAGCCGCTTCTGGTGAACCAGAGCAGCGCACGGAAACGCCGTTTACCTTCCCGCTGGAGCGGTACTGTCAGGGGCTCAGGAGCAGAGGCACAGGAAAGGGAAGAAATAGAGAGCGAGGGGGAGGAATCCGAAGGAAATGTTAGCGATGACAGAGGTCCGAGGTCTCTGAGTCTTTCCAGCGAATCGGAGGATTCACAGAAAGGGGCTCCCATGGTCAGAGCAAGGGGGGTGCCGAGGGGGACACCCCAGGAAAAGGGGGCCAGAGGGGACTCAGAGAGCAGCAGTTGGAAATCAGGACCAGCTTCCCCACCAGAGCGCAGTAGGGGGGAGGAGTCCCAGGTATCGGGAGCAGGCGGCTCACCGCCAGCGGGAGGACATGAGTCAGGATTGGCAACGCCTCCATCGGGGAGCGAGGAAACGGTCAAGAGGAAGGTCGAAAGCTGGGCGCGCGCGCCAAGTTCAAATGTACAGGAGGGCGGCGCAGTTGGCAGCCCGGATAGGGAGCCAGGTCCCAAAGCCCGCCGAAAAGAGGGGGAGGAGTCAGGGGGGTCAGCGTCAGAAGAGTCCAGAAAGGAGGAGACCCCGGGGGGCAGAAGGACCCAGAGGAGAAAGGAGAGACGGAAAAGGTGGAGTAAGATTAGAGCCTTAAGTTGGTGTACAGGGGGTGGGAGACTCAGATGGAGCTTCGCCGGTCTAAGGACTCAGACGTAGCGCTGCGCGCCACTGATGTCAAACCAACAATGAACCGCAATAAAGACTTTTGTTTATAAAGAGCAACTGGCGTGGGTCCTTTGTGAGCTGGGACCTGAGGCAGCTGCTGACAAATGTATTTATACCCCGCATATCTGGGCAGCTTCCAACCAGATATTAAAAACAATACAGCATAAATAACAATCAGCAAGAATCCTTTAAAAATAAATAATAGCTTAATGGTTATAACAGTTAAGAAAAGGAAATACAGTAGTAAGAATAATGAACAAAGATAAAAACACATAGCGGTTGGGGGAAAGGATGAGATGATGATGATGATGATGATGATGATGATGATGATGATGATGATATAATAGCAATTAATGGAGCCCCTGCCCCCCTCTTTCCAAGGCACCTTCAACCTGCTGGTGAAATCCGCCGGTGCCGCAGAGGAAGTTCTGTGGACCCGGGCGGGGACTCAGGGCGCCGCTTGGCGCCGTGCCTCGGCCACAATTCCCCAGCATCTGCTGCCCGGCTTCCAGGTGAGGTCTTGGGATCGAATCCAGCCTAGAATAAGAACAAGCAAAATCATCGTGAATAACAGCACCGGAAACTATTTTCTTTCCATACCAGGTGATCTTTGAGCTGCTCCGCGACGGCTTTGTGGGAACCGTAGCAGTGGACGACGTAGCACTGGCGCCCGGCCCCTGCGCCGCCCCCCTCCGCTGCAACTTTGAGGAGCCTGGCGCCTGCAATGTTTCGGGAGGAGGGTGGGTGCGGTGGCAGGGCGGCGGCACCTCAGGGCAAGGCCCGCTCCATGACCGCACCCTTGGCACGTCGGAGGGTGAGTGACGCCAGCGTCAGGCTGGATGACCGCCGGTCCCAATATGGTAGGAAACCCCAACTGGAACTCGCCGCTTCCCTCCCCAGGACACTACATGGTTGCCGACACCAGCGCCCTGGCAGCGGGAGAAGCGGCGCTGCTGTGGACGGGGACGTACCTGCCGTTGGGGGGCACCCACTGTGTCGGATTCTGGTACTACCTGAGCACTGGAGACGCAGGTAAAAGCTCGGGGTGGGATGGATGACCCACCAGGGTCCCGCCATGCCAGAAAGCTTGATGACTCCACCAAGGCGCTCTCTCGCCAGGCTCTCTGCGCGCCTCCGTGGAGGAAGAGGGCAGGAGGCAAGCCGAGGCGCTGGCAGTGGGTTCAATGCGGCACGGGAGCTGGCGCTACGCAAATTTCACAGCGGAAGTTAGCAGCGAGTGGCAGGTGAGCGCCAAAGGGGAGCGTCGGGTTGGGGGAATGGTGCTGGGTTTGACTTTGTGGCAGCATGCGGACCCCCCTCTCTCTGGCGCAGGTGGCTTTTGCGGCAGAAGGCGATGGAGGGGCTGTGCCGTCGTATGTGGCGCTCGACGACCTTGAGGTGACACCGGGGAGCTGCCTCGGCGCTGGTAAGCCTTGGGAGTTGTAGCGCCACATGACCAAAGGGTTTGGGGTGCAGAATATTGCCAGGGGCTTGACTGCTCTGGCTTCTCTCCACTCAGGCTCATGCGATTTTGAATCCGGCACCTGTGGCTGGAGGAAGCCCCACGGTGATTGGTGGAGCTGGGATTGGGCCGGGGCGGGCGCCGACGGTGAGTCTCGCACGGGGTACTCCCAAGCGTCTGGGGCGGGAGGCTTACAACTTACGACCCTGCAAGGTGGGCCGAGGGGATCGGAATGAATCGTCACAATAATGGTTTGCTCTGAGCCGGGTCCGGGTGCGAGTAATCGGGCTTTTCTCCCGATTATTATTTTCATTTCTCTCTAGGGCGCCACATCTCCGTCCAAGTGGGCACCGGACACCATGCCGCCCGCCTCACCAGCGAGACCCTTGAAGGCACCGGCTGCTTCCACTTCCGCTACCGCATGGCCTTCCAGGGGAAAAGTGGTGAGTCAGGTTTTACTTGGGCCGGTGGAACTCCCTGATGCGGGAAGGGAATTATTACGGAGCCTCTGGCACCCGAAGCCACTGCCCACATGACTCCGCCTTCCTTTCCCTCCCCAGCAGGCAATGCTGAGCTCCGGGTGCTCCTGTCCGGCCCGCAGGGGGAGCGTGTGGTCTGGCGGGCCGCCAGCCACCAAGGTTGGGCCTGGCGGGAGGAGAGGCTTCTCATTGACAGCGGTGGTGAGTTCCAGGTAAGCCATCTCAGAAAGTTTGGTGCCTTTGAGACTGCCTGCCACTGGTGTTCCTTTGATAATTAAACTTCCTTATATTATTCCTATTAAACTCCTTTAAATGTGACAGCTTTCGTGTCCACCTTGGGACTGGACCATTGCTCGACTGGATCGCCCTATAAAGACGTGGGGACTTTTTTGGCGTCGGAAAAGAGAATTCCATCTACGCGCTTTGGGACTTCTTGCCACTGGCATCCGATGTGTAAATTTTGGGACCTCCTGCCACTTTGGACACGCCTCTGGCAGAGACCGTTCAGGCCAGAGTGGCACGATTTCGCAATATCCTTCCTGGCGAGGAACGCACTCGCTGGTTTGAACCCATGTCTCGCAGGTGGTGCTGGAAGATGGGCCTGCCTGGCGATTGTCTCGGACACGGAGTGCCGATCGCGGTGGATGACGCTACGCATACTGGGCCAGGAGGTGAGGTGCGAGTGAGCGGCGCCAGGAGAGCAGTAGTGAAGGTGAGGGGAGGCCCAATGCTTTGGAGATCCAGGGTTTGAGAGACACACAGGCGCATACAAACGGAGTCTTCCCCCCCCCCAGGGAGCAGTGCCCCCACCCTGCCTTGGGAGGCTGCCGTTGCATCCGCAGCCGCCTGCGCCCTTTTTGGGGGGCTCCTGGCCTGGGCCGTCGCTCACCGCTGTCGGAAGAAGTGCTGCCCGTTGGAGGCGCCCCAGTTCGAGCCTTTGACAATGTTGCCTTCCAAGACGTGAGTCCCTCTCACCCTGGACCCCCTGTCCCACCCCAGCCCCGTCCCCTTCCACACCGCCAGAGGCAGTCTACCTGCCTCCCTGTGATAAGAGGTGGGGCCTGCATTGGTGAATTCCATGCCTGGCCATGAACTACCCGCTTTGCATTCGCAGGACCAGGTTCGGATCGTGGAGCTGCCCATCAGCGCGCCAACAGACTAGCCCCTTTCTCCCCAGAAGGATGCCTGCCTAGCTGGCGGGTTGGGCTGGATGACCCTCAGATCCCTTTCTGACTGGGCACGATTTCTCTGGACGTGCTGAAGGCGGACAACACGAAACAAAGGAGAAAACTGTGGCGTTTTTTCTGTAGCCGTTCTCGTCTCCTGTGAAATAAAATGGGATTTCTGCCCAAAAAAATGGTGTCGGGTGCCTGTGCACGAACAGAGCTCAGGGAGTTTGGGACAGAGGGGGGGAACAGCCTGCTCCCGGGGCGGAGGAAGAGCTCTGTCTTGGTCCCCACTTCGTGGGGGAATGGACTAGATGCTTCTTTGGGTCCCATCTCTGCATTTCAGGGGTCAGACTAGATGCCTCTTGGGGTCCCATCTCTGCATTTCAGGGTCAGACTATATGTGTTTTAACAATGAGTCCGTAAGTGACTGTGGGAGGCCAATTCTAGATCCACACGTCCTTTCACAGAGGGGACATTGGGTTACGGGCGGGAGTTGATCACGGTGTGGATTTGCCAATGGTCAGGATGGGAGTTACAGCTCGGCAACATCTGGAGTGTCAAAGGTTCCCCATCTCTGGATTACGGGCACTGGCAGAGGAAGAGGGGTAGTGGGGGGGAGCTCACTGCCCCCGGCAGCGCAATCCCGGTGGGGTGCCATTGCAACTGGCCCCCGCCCATGCTGGGCACCACGCCCCTGCGGGCAGTGTGCCACGCCCCCAGGACACGTGCCACGCCCCCACCTGCTCTCCGCTCCCCCCCCCCCCGCTGCCAGAGCTTGAAGCTCCACCACCAATTACTGGATCTATCCAGAGATACCTACTGTATGTCCCCCACAAGGTCTTCCAGCATATTTGCATGCCAAGTGGCATCTATTCCCCCCCGCAAAAATAATAATGTTCTCTTTAATGGTGGAGGTTGAAATGATTGATAGCTATAACAGTGGTTACCAAAAGGTGCTTCTAGAGTCCTTCAGTCACAGGAACATATGTGTTATTAATGTAAGTATAAAATTTTTATTGTAGCCAATGTAGCATCAGAGGTTAAGCAGATTTTAATATGTAGAAGTAGTCCATTAGCAATGGGAAATGAGTATGTCCATCCACTTCCTGCCCCAAAATGATGAGTATAGCAAAGGCAAGAATAAGAGAAAAAAAGCCTGACATAGTCTGCATGCCTCTAGACTGATTTCAGTAAAGTTGGTGCTAGGAAACAAGAAAAGTGAGTTTTACTCCTGTACTTCTCTGCTGTTCAATCTCAAACTACAGGGTCTTAGACTTACACAATAAATTGATATTGATATCTAAAAATATTGGTTTAGGGTAAACAAATGATGGTGTCAGTTGATTTTACTTCTTATTTCTGAAGTATCTGTGGATTTATATGAAATTTCTTTCTTTGTTTCCTTAGAGAGTTTGGATAATTGTAATAAAATTTTCAATGAACTTAAGAACCTGTAACATACAAACAACATACAAAGTCAGATTTAACACACACACACTAATACATATTGTGAGTACAAATTATTATTCATTCCAAGTGGAATGAAAATCCAGTTAAATGGATTACTTCTGCAATATTTTTACAGCCTGATTCCATATATGCCTTATCAAGCCCATTAAGTCTTAGGCTGCAATCTTATGCTCATTTACCTGGGACTAAATCCCAGTAAACTCAACCAGGGTTACTTCTGAGCACACATGCCTATGATGTCACTGTTAAACTCCTACAAATTACAAATTCTTGTCCTGGGAGTTCTTGAGAGACCTCCTGGGGTCATATGAACCAATCTGTTGTATATTTGTAATTCTAATACTAAGATATAAATTGATTGTACGGTCCTGTTTGGTGTAAACCTAACTTCCAGGGATGTTTGAAGGTCAATATTCCTGCTCAGTAGGTTCCTGCTCATTAATGCAGAACAAGAGAATTAAGAGTATTCAGCATTGGCACCCTTGCAAGGGACAACTGAGGACTGAAGACTCTGGGCAAAGATTAGCCATACCTTCACTCAAAAGCAATTCCCGTCTCCTTAGGTAGGCTTGGCTATACACCTTGGGCCTCCCCATCTCCCTCCCAGTAAGCAACCAGTGACCCACAAAATGTTGGAATCTCCACTCGGGCGAGCTGATAAAGCTCATCTTCCAGCCGAGTCCTCTGGAAATCGCCTCCGATGAATAATTAACAACCTTGAGCCTTTGATGAGGCTCCAAGGCACGTTCCCCCCATTCAGCAGAGAATCCAGGCAGCAGAAGTGATGAGATTTATGGCTACATCACTATGCTTTATTTCTCACTACGCAGACAAAGAAAAATACATCCTCTACCTGTGAGAGCAGAGAGCAAACCGAACAACTATGGAACAAAGGAAACAGGAAACCAGTAACGTCACATCTGTCTCCCATTCCCGTGAGACTTCCAACAAGCCTGCACTGTCTCTGGAATGTAAACAGAGCCTTGTGACTCTAAGCAGCTGCTCAGTGGCAAAACAGAAACTGACACAAAATAGTGAAAATAATGTTGGGAAATGTGTGAATATTAGGAGAAAAATTGTATTAATTTTTGTGTGGAATTTTTATTTATTTATTTTTAACAAACTGGTGTGGAACAGGGCAAACTCAATTTAGGACTGGAAAAATGGGAAACAGAAATTGAAATTCATGGTTTTATCCATCTTTAGTTGCGTCTGATACTAACTAGACCTGTGACCAGAGGTCCCCCCACCATTGATTTTAGGCTTTTGGGGGTGATAACAAAAACTTCAAATAGCTCCTGAAAATGAATAATAAGCTAGTGAATATGATACAGAAGTGGCAAAATGTGATGCTTCAAACTGGTCAAAAAATCAGCCATATTCCTAATGTGTGGGTTTCTGAATGCTCTTTAAGGGCAGCCCCAGACAGAACACATTGCAGTAATCCAGCTTTGAGGTAATTAAGCTATGTGTAACCAGGGCTATGGCCGTGATCTGCCTTTTTCGGAAAAAAGTGCACATAGTACATGTATCTGGAAGGACAGATCGTGAAGCTGAGGCTCCAGTACTTTGGCCACCTCATGAGAAGAGAAGACTCCTGGAGAAGACCCTGATGCTGGGAAAGATGGAGGGCACAAGGAGAAGGGGGCGACAGAGGACGAGATGGTTGGATAGTGTTTTCCGAGGTTACCAGCATGAGTTTGACCAAACTGCGGGAGGTAGTGGGAGGACAGAGGTGCCTGGCGTGCTCTGGTCCATGGGGTCACGAAGAGTCGGACACGACTAAATGACTAAACAACAACAAAAGTACATGTATGTGTAGTTTGACCTTGTGAAAGAGAAATGGCAAGTTTGTACATTCACAAGAGCTTGTTAGCCACTTTGGCATGTGTCAGGGGCTCAGGAGCAGAGGCGCAGGGGAGAGAGGAAATGGAGAGCGAAGGGGAAGAATCTGAGGGCAGCGGAGGGCAGAATGACAGTGACCCGAGAGATTCCATAAGCCTCTCCAGTGAATCAGAAGATTCCCAGAAGGGGGCGCCGATGGCCAGGGCAAGGGGGGTCCCAGGGGGGACACACCAGAAGCAGGGGGCCAGCGGGGACTCCCAAAGCAGTAGCTGGAAATCAGGACCAGCTTCCCCACCAGAGCGTAGTGGGGGGGAAGAGTCCCATAGGTCAGAGTCAGCGTCTCCTCCGGCAAGCAGGGAGGAGGAGTCAGACCCAGCTAGCGTCCCCGAAGAGGGGAGCAGCGACAGGAGCAGTATAACGGTCAGAAGGAAGGTGGCAGGCTGGGCGCGCGCGCCAAGTTCAAATGTACAGGCGCGCAGGACAGCAGAAAACCCGGATTGGGAACCAGGTCCTAAAGCCCGCCGGAGGGAGGGGGAAGACTCGGGGGACTCAGCGTCAGAAGAGTCTAGATAGGGGAAAACCCCGGCGGACAGGCGGACCCAGAGGAAGAGGGAGCAGAGAAAGAGGTGGAGCAAGGCTAGGGTCTTAAACTGGTGTTTGGGGGGAGGAGACTCAGACGGAGCTTCGGCGGTCTAGGGTTTAAGACGTAGAGCTGCGCGCCGTGGCTGTAAATGAGAAACTGAACTTCAATAAAGACTATTTAATATAGCAACGGACTGGCGTCGGTCCTCTGTGAGCTGGGACCTGGGGCAGCTCTGACAG